AATCCAATGACCTCATCGGGACTTGAACCCGCGACCTTCCGGCTTGTAGCATAGTATCTCAACCAACTACGCTACCACGTATAATCACATTAAAAGTTTTTCATCGGTCTTCATGTTGCTGTCTTCCAACTCCTTAAATACGACCTTAATAAAAACAGTATACGGTTAAGTTCTCCCCGTGTTTAATTGCGTAAGCAGCACGCCATGAACGCATACGGGGGAAGCAGATGTACACCTTCACAATTCTTGATCTCGGTACCAGATAGAGGTTAGTAGTAAGCTTCACGTCCCAGTCGCCTTACCCCCAGGGAAAGAACCCCCGATGCCCATCGGCGGGAGGCTGGGTGGGCTCCAGGGCCGGTCTGGACGACGTGGAGAAAAGAACCAACATAATCAGCAAGACATAACAATATCTCTTTATATTCTATTTCCCCCATAATTATCTTATGGCCGATCCTAGTGACAAGAACTCTGTTCGCCCGCTCAAATACTGGGATCATGGGTTCGAATCTCACTCGAGGTATGGATGTCTGTGTGCGTTTATTCTGTGTTTGTGCTCTCCTGTTTGTAGATAGTGCCCTTACGACGGGCTGATACCCCGTCCAAGGAGTCCTACCGACTGTATTGGATTAAGAAACTGAAAAAAAGGCCAAGGCCTAACAAAGGGCTGTAGAGCCATAGAGATATAATTATCTTATGTCTGACTGGCCCCTGTTTCAGATACGGAAACAAGATGGAATGAAAGTCACATGTCAATTAATGTGCCAGAAATACTGACCCACGTTTTTCTTTAGATTAAAGTATTTGTGTGGCAACCGGCCACACAAATACAAAACCTGCTCGGCCCTTGTGTTGCACTGTGTCATGGCGGCGGCGCGAGCTCTCGCAAGGGGAGGCATCAGCAGCGAAACATGATTGGCGCTGACTGGTTTAGCTGTCATCGCTAACTGACCAGGAAGTTGTTATGACCCAATTTCAAGGCAGGTCTAGTACCCCAGTATTCACCCAGAAACACTGGGTAAAACCACGAAAAATATTAGTCGGGATGCAAACCAAACGCGCTACTGGTTCTTCTAATCTTACGTCAGTTACCAACGACGCACCTCATTCTGGACAATACCAGGACTGAAATTTGAAAGTGGCCACGGTCAAATGAGGTTCATTTAATATTCATTTTATTTCGTAATTTATAAATAATATTGTCACGTGTATGAGTGACTATAGACGGGGTTTGGATTGGTAACTGGATTTACTGAAGTCTTACAGAAAGTAACTACAAGTAACTACAGCGCTATCGCTAATTCACACGCTCAGTTCACTACATCATCATCATCATCATCATCATCATCATCATCATCAGTAATCTGTCAGACGACAGGTCCACAGTCTCTTCCAAAACAATTCCTCCACTTAATGCGATCTAGAGCTTTCTCCTTGAAATGATAGTATCCTCTTCTGTCCCCAAGGTCATCCAGCATCTTCTTACGTCTTCTTCCTCGTCTTCTGGTCACTTCTATCCACCCCTCTATCTTTCCTTCAATAACTTCTTTTAGAAGGCAGTTTCTGCGTAAAACCATGACCAATCCAATTAGCCTTCCGTTTTCTTATTTCGTGTAGGATATTCCTCTGCTCACTGACTCTAATTAACACTTCTTCATTTCTCACATAATTGGTCCAACTGATCTTCTCCATCCTTCTCCAACACCACATTTCGAAACTTTCCAGATGTTTCTGATCTACTGCCCTAAGTGTCCATGTTTCAGCCCCATACAGAGCTATGCTCCAAATGTAGCATTTCACTAGTTTCTTCCTCAAATTTAAGTCCAATTTGCTGGTAAAAAGATTCTTCTTCTTGCTAAATGCAGCTTTTGCCATAGCAATCCTGGATTTAATTTCACTAGTACACCTTCCATTAACTGTTAACAAGCTACTATTTAAAACATTTCACATTCTCCAGTTGTTTTTGGTCTTTCTTTATTGTGACTGGGGGTGGTTGTCTCGAAAGTTTCATTACTTTTGTTTTATCCACATTCATTTCCATGCCATAGCACCTTCCAATTTCAATTAGTCTATCAATCATGCCCTGTAGCACAGTTTCTTCCTTAGCCATTAACACAAGGTCATCTGCATATTTCACAGTTTGCAGCTCACTACAGCACGCACTAAATCTCCTCAGTCTGCTGTGTCTTCACCGGGCGTTGTCTGGCAACGGCTTCAGACGCCATATATGCCTCAGCTTCTGTGTTCAAGTTCAAAACTATAGATTTGTCCTGCTTGTAACACCTCGGCACGGCCCGCATAGAAAACACCGTTTCCAGCAATTCTATTGTCGCGTCACGCAGCTGTCACATGGACCGCGTTGAGAACACCACTTCCCAGTTAGTCCATTGCTGCGTGTTAGGAATCTGTTGCTTAGTAGCGGGCGTTGTTTACAGTCATTACTTAGCAAAGGGCCTACATGCTATAACAGTATTTACTTTTTATCATTCCCATGTTCACTTGAGAATTTCGTAACCTGTACCCTTCGCCAAATAAAACAGAATGATCAAGTCAAGAAGGACGAGATGGGCTAGCCATTTTGCACGCATGGGGGAGAACAGGTATGCATATAGGTTTTCGGTGGGAAAATTAGAAGGAAAAACAGCACTAGGAAGACCTAGAGGTAGGTGGGAGGATAATATTAAGATGTAAAAGTAAATCTGTCCCTGTGCTTAACGAATTAAGCACTGCGCCATGAAGGCATATTGGGGAGTGAGTGTATAGATCCACATTTTCTTGACGTCGGCACTAGTTGGAGGTGAGGGGTCAGCTTCACGCCCCGGCCACTTTACCCCCGGGGAAAGGGATCCCGGTACCCTTCGGATAGGAGGCTGGGTGAACCCCAGAGCCGATCTGGATAACGCGGAAGAGAGAAAATTCTTTACTCTACCAGGACTCGAATTCCGACCCCTCAGTCATCCAGCCCGTAGTAGCAAGTCGTTATCCCGACTGCACTGTCCCGATCTTGGAGATGGGATGGTATGGACCGAATTGATCTAGCTCAGGATAGGGACTAGTGGAGGGCTCTTGTGAACACGGTAATGAACCTTCGAGTTCTATGAAATATTTGGAACCTTATGTTTAATTTATCATACGTTTCCGTTGACCTTTGTTTCATTCGGGGCACGAGGTAGCGTAGTTGGTTGAGGCATTACACTACAAGGAGGCAGGTCGCGGGTTGGTATCCCGATGAGGTCAATGGATTTTTCAATTGACTTAATCCTTCCAGCCGCACTATGGCCCTGGGGTCAACTCAGCCTCTAATAGAAATGAGTACCAGGAATTTTCCTGGGGTGTTAAGGGCGGTCGGCGTGTAAAGCTGACAACCTTACGGCCATATGTGAGCCAATTGTCCAAAGAAAATGTGGGAGTCTCGACTTCTCGCAACCCTATGGGCTTCCACGGCCTATTACAAGGAGAGCATTTTGTTTCATTCACAATAATATCCTGTCTGGCGATTAGCCCTCCGTGTTACTGATCACTTTTAACTTTCCCATTGCATTTAGCTGCCACAAGAGCTTAAGGGCTTATGCAGGGTACTGTACGTCATGCACACCCCCTCTGGCAAAAATTAGTTACACACTCTTTAATTTTATGAACAGTGAGCGTGTTTCCCTTGAATCATCATTAATTAATCTAATTTCATGCTAAATAATTTCTACAATTGGTATATCGCGTTTAAATTATTTTAACGGTAACCTGCTACTGCCGTCGGATTTCAGCACACGACCTGAGAAATTCCAGCACTTGCTAGTATATATTGCTCCTGACAATGATGGATGTTTTCTGCGTTGTTGGGTGCAACTGCGCATGTCAGACCCTCGTGCAGACCTTGGTCACACAAAAACATATTTATACTACTTACACTTCCCTTTGTTTGGTTCGGCGGTTACAAAACTTATTTCTAAGGGAAACAAAATCTTGAGGGAGCCAGGACAGCTCAGTGACTAAGCTACGGACAGGACTGAGGAACTGGTGTTAGATCTCAGGTAAGGGAAAGTGGCTTTTCTTTTTTACACAGCCAAGCCAACCTCCTATACAATGAGTACAGGGGGTCGTACCCCATGGTAAAGTGATCATTCACCTTCATCTAGTGCCGAGATAAGGAATGTATGGAGCTTGACTCCTACTCCTCCATACGGCCTAATGACGTGGTATTTATAGGAACATCTTGACAGTTTCGTGATAAAGTTAAGTATATAATTTTTCATACTATGTTAAGTTTTGTCAGATATGGTCCTAACCTTAAATTTTCGCACAGTCGCCATATTTGTTAATGTTAACATATAAATATTCAACACAAAATTCTAGGCACATTTAATATATGTGTCTCCATACAAAACTTCGCATGCCTAACACCAAACAGATTATAATTATCACTGCGAAAGACAAATTTCGCGTGGCCGCCATGTTGTTCTATATTCTTACAAATTACATACACGTCATGTGTGAAAAGAAGACTGCACATTAAGTTGAAGCCGTTTTCGTCTTTCTTTTCTTTCCCCACTTCTACGAATAAATAATACGAATTATCCTTGTACCAGATCACCACAAATAAACGGTAAAATTTTAGAACTCCGAGGCGTACTGAACCAAACAAAACCAACAATTTTTAAGTCGCCGTAAAATTCATATATGTAAGCCTGTCTTCTGACGCGACTCTGAATCTAAGTGTTTTATTTATTCTTAGTTTATTTAATGAAACTTCAAATATATCATATTTTTCAGTATTTAATGATATGATGATTAGTAAATTATGAACAGAGAAGGGTGTAGGATTAAGGCCAAATATGAGGCCGGCAGGATGATGAAAAACCATAAAAATCTGTCCGGAAAGCATGTCTCTGGTCCGAGACACGAAATCGGTCCGTCCATATCCCGAATATATCAACCTGTAGACCACAAAGTTGGGTGAGAATCAACGAAATTGAAGAAAATGAGGTTTTGTTTTCTTTACTCACCCAATTCGGCATAACATAATGCCCCTATCATGGATAGAAGGCCGGATAGGACCCACACGATAAGGCCAAGTCCTATGGAGCCCGAACTCTTCAGAACACCTTTCGGAGACACAAATATACCAGCTCCAATAATTATACCAACAATAATAGCAACACCATCCAAAAGTCCTAGTTCCTTCTTTAGCTTAATGTCACTGTTTGGCCGTAATGTCTCCTTCCCTGAGGCTAACAGCTTGTTTTTCTTGATAGACATTGTCACTCAGTTGTCGTGGATTGTGTCTGATGCACTTCTACGGCAGTTTCATCATCTTTCCAGCTGTTCCTTTTTGGCGCGACTTCGATGACGTATTTAAATTATATGATTCTATTGGTAAGCACAAGTTCCACCTCCTTTCATTGATCACATGTATAAACAAACACCAGTTTCACAGAGTTTTATACAACTTTCAGGCTCCGTAATAACGTACACGGAATTTTAACTGAAATACTTGTTCTAAATAATTACGTAACGTGGCGCCTTGTTCACACTAACACGTGGTCTTCGTTTCCTGCAAGGCGAACAATTCGTGGCAGTGAGCACTACACATGCTTATCTCTGCATTGTTCCACGTGGTAGGGCAAGACGCGAAGTTTCTAGCTGTGCAACAGCCAGGCGACGTAGAGCTGGCTCCAAGTCTAGTCAGCAAGTTCCCCTTTCCCTCACCTCTCCAAGCACCACATCCCCCCCCCATTCAAAGACCCTCCCGACCTCGTGGGGTGTCGAGTTCTACAGCACTCAGCTACAATTTACAACTGTATTGTATACATAGCCGATGTTTCCTGAGATTCGGGTCAATATATTTCTGAAACAAGTGGGTGCAACACAAGTTTTTTTTGTTCTTCTTATTCTTCCGTTTTTCCTTTCTTCCTATTTCTTGCCGTATTTCTTTGTGCTCCTCTTTTTCCCTTTTTCTTCATATCCATCCTCAGTGTAAGTGCATACATTTAATGTGTCAGAACTACAAATAATTAGCATATTTCGTTAAAGTTGTTCCTGTGCTTAACTAATTAAGCTCTACGCCATGAAGGCGTTAGGGGGAGTGGTTGTGTAGATCCACATTTTCTTGACCTCGGCACTAGCTGGAGGTGAGTGGTCAGACTCACGCCGCCGGTCGCTTTATCCCTGGAGAAAGATCCCTCGTACACATTGGATAGGAGATCAGGTGGACCATAGAACCGGTCTGGACGACGTGGATAAGAGGAAATTTTTTACCCTACCGGGACTCGAACTCCTACCCCTCGGTCGTTCAGCCCGTAGCCAGTCGCTATATCAACCGAACTATCCCGGTCCCATGTAGCTCACAGTATATATAGCGTCGACTTGTGTGATGACTAGTGAGTAATGCATTTGATAATGTAAGGAAGGAACCAGACTTGGTCTAATTTAAAATATCTCGGAATTTGCCTGGAGGAACACTTATACGTGTCATCAGTCTGGGCAGTAAGTGTCCCAGCTGAGTTTCGAATCAGGCACGTCCTGAATACAAATCAGTAGCTTACAGACTCAGTCAGCTCCTTTTGTACAAAGTATGTATAACAAGAATCGGTAATTGTTCTAAAGGAAATGTCTGTCATTTCTGGAGAGACAGAGAAACCACGAACTTCCGAAAACAAACGATCGAACTAGGGACATGTCGAATCTAGGGAAGAATTAATAACAATTGAACCAGGCTCTGTGAAAGAGCCAGGGTAGCTCAGTCGGTATAGCGACTGGCTACGGGCTGGACGGCTGAGGGTACGGAGTTCGGGTCCCAGTAGGGTCAAGAATTTTCTCTTCTGCGCGTCGTCCAGATCGGCTCTGGGGTTACCCAGCCTCCTATCCAATGGGTACCGGGGACTCTTTCCCGGGGGTAAAGCGGCTGAGGCGTGAGTCTGACCACTCACATCCAACTAGTGCCGAGGTCTAGAAAATATGAATCTATACATGCACTCCCCCATGCGCCTTCGTGGCGTAGTGCTTAATTAGTTAAGCACAGGGACAATTTTACCTTTACCAGGCTCTGTGGTGATACAACGCATCATAAAAAATATGCAATTATATTAGAAACACGAAAAACCAGTGTGTTGTTACTTATCTTCAGGCCGTTTTCAGAACTTCGCCTGTCTCCTTCACAGCCCTGGACACCCCACCCACTAAGCTAGGGCGACGGGACAAGGGACATCCGCCTACACCCTGATAATAGTGGATGACATACAACAGGTGGGATAGTTCGGTTGGTATAGCGACGTGCGAAGGGCTGGACGGTCGAGGTTCAGTTTCCAGGAGAGGCAAGATATTTGTCTCGTCCAGACTGGATCTGGGGCCAACCCAGCCTCCCATCCAATGGGTAGCGGGGGTCATTTTCCCCAGAGGTAAAGTGGCCGGAGCGTGAAACAGGCCACTCACTTATGTCTAGTGTCGAGGTCAATAATGGTGAAGCTATACCTCCTTTCCCACACAAGACTTCATGGCGGGGACCTCGATTAATTATACACAGAGACAACTTTCATTATTCATTCATCAGTAATCTGTCAAGGCGACAGGTCCACAGTCTCTTCCAAAATAATTCCTCCACTTGATGCGATCTAGAGCTTTCTCCTTCAAATGAAAATATCCTCCTCTGTCCCCAAGGTTATCCAGCATCTTCTTACGTCTTGTTCCGCGTCTTCTGGTCACTTCTATCCGCCCTTCTATCTTTCCTTCAATAACTTCTTTTAGAAGGCAGTTACCGCGTAAGATATGACCAATCCAATTAGCCTTCCGTTTTCTTATTTCGTGTAGGATATTCCTCTGCTCACTGACTCTAAATAACACTACTTTACCTTTCTTTAATGACCTACAGCTTAAAGGGAGATTCGAATTAAGGAGAAGTCTGGTATCCTTCAAGTTAGAAACTTTTGGCTGTGTCAGCAGCGGAAGAATTGGAATGCATGGGCATGGAACCGGCTGGACTCGAAACTCAGATCTTCTGGATTCAAAACACGTCTTTCAGCTAGTTCCCGAAAAGATGTTCCTGTAATTAATTAAGTACCACACTATAAAGACGTATGGGAGTACGGAGGTATAGCTCCACCATTATTGATCTAGGCACTAGATTGTGGTGAATGGTCGGGGAAACATTCCCCTGCACCCATCTGACAGGACGCTGAGTGGGCTCCAGAGCCGGTCTGGACACTGAGGAGTAGATAACAGCCTCATGATTTTGCAGTCAATAGAACCTCGATTTCTCGGTCGGCCAGCCTGTATCCTAGTCATTAGACCGACTGAGCTATCCCGGCTCCTCCTATCTCACCAATTGAATCACAGAAGTACTTACCGGTTGGTGCAGTAACTTATTATAGTCAAATAAACAAAAAAAAAACTCCGTGGTTTTAGTCCGCAAGCGAACTATACCGACCGAGCAACCGCCCCTTATCGGCGAAGTTAGTGCCAATTTTAGTCGATGGATGGTGTCGCGTGAATAGCGCAATGAATCCCCGCGGCCGTTAATCTTGGTTTTCTATACCGGAGCCGCTATTTCCTTGAAATAGCTCCTCAATTATCCTCACGAGGCTGAGTGGACCCCGTTCCAGACCCACTATTTCTCAGAAAATCTGGTAGCGCCGGGAATCTAACCCGGACCTCTGGATCCGTAGCCAGGAACTCCAACCAATAGAAAACGGTCGGTTACAAAAAAATATAAGGCATATTATTTATAACGAGTTAAAACAAATCGGTGGGTCAGTGCTTCGAAAAATATTCTCAAGTACCGGCCACGTTACCGGCTATCTTGAAAGAGGATTTCGTGGTTTTTCTCAGACTCTTAAGCAGACAGCCAGGATAAAAGCCACGACTCCCTCCTTTGAAATCCTTATGTACTCATAATTCATGATCATTCTTTAGTCACATTTGATGCTATATAAGCTATTAATCAGATTCGGTATCGTTAAATAAGCTACGACACAGCCAGCCTAAAAATACAAAGCCATAAGCAGGGCCCGGATTTTGATGACGTGTCATCTTTTTTTCCTTGTATCCTATGTGATGCTCTTAAATATACAAATCTCGGATATGAGCTGCTGATTACAGAAATGTAGATTTTATAGGTAATTTTTTGTCATTTTTTTGACATTTTTAGGTTTAAGGTCATTTTCTCATTTTGGCGTAATTTTTTGGTAAATTTTTGGACTTTTAAGGGTACTTCTTGTCATTTTTGGCCATTTTAGGGAATTTTTCTTCATATGTTTTCTGAAATGTGAATAATATGGAAGCAAAGTGTTTTTTCTCTTTCTCCTAAGCCCTCTCTACAAAGGCCATAGTATACAATAATAGGTTGTAATCCTGGCCCGCCCTTTCCGTTCGTTTCACGGAAGTGCTGACAATACATATCATAAAACAGGGTAAGGCGATGACTACTCACACTGCGTCTCTTTGTACAAAGCAATTTGCGTAGTTACACATATTTCCAGTCGGAATCTCTTGCTTCATATGGCACTGTTGTTCAATAAAACTCCTTCTGTCTTCAGTTCCTCGCCCTTGACCGTACAGATAATGATACAGTTGACGAAAGGTTCTCGGTGAGAAAAGTTCAGTTCAATTCTGTGTTGCGCTAGAGTGATTAATTTTATCACGATGCCAAAAGCAAAGCCAACTAAATCGTGTCATTTAAAGCAATTTGTAGCTGAGTTTGGAGATGATATATTTTCAACTGACGGTGACATTTTATACTGCAAGATGTGTGACACAAAAGTAGAGGCAGAAGAAAGATTCACGGTACAACAACATATCGGCCGCGACAACCTTATACGAGCAGTGCAAATTTCGAACGAAAAGAAAGCTGTGCAATGGTTACTGCAGCAGTGTTCATCTGGAGGTAGAAATAAGTCATCGGTTTTTTTTTTTTTTCAGAGATCTGTGTGATGCTCTGGCGTCCGCAAATATTCCGTTTTGGGCTCTGAACAATGGAAAACTGAAAAACTTTCTGGAAGTAAACTGTGGTCGTTCCATCCCGCATGAATCCTCACTCAGGAAAAACTACCTTTCCCAGTGCTACAACAGTATCCTGGAAATGACTGGGAATAAAGTGCAGGGGAAGATTTTCGTTTCTATTGATGAGACCTGCGATACGGAGGCTCGCTACGTGGCAAACGTCATCATTGGAACCTTGGAAATTGTTGGACCATGTGAAGTGTTTCTGCTTACGAGTGAGGTGCTAGAATCCGTCAATCATTCCACAATTTGTAAACTCTTCGACAGGTTGATGTTTCTACTGTGGCCAGAGGGTATACGACACGACGACGTCTTGCTTTTTGTGACCGATGCAGCCCCATATATTGTAAGAGCAGGCAAGTCAATAGTCGTTTTATACGAAATTGGTGCACGTTACTTGCCTAGCTCATGCACTGCATAGAGTGACGGAGGAAGTGAGATCAAAATTTCCTCAAGTGGATGCTCTCGTGTCGAGGACAAAGAAGATTTTCGTCAAGGCTCTAGCTCGTAAAATGCAGTTTAAGTCTGCGGCTCCTAGTGTTCCACTGCCCCCTGAACCCGTCATTACAAGGTGGGGAACGTGGATTGATGCTGCAATTTACCATTGCGACATTTTCAGGTAGTTAGTAACACTGTAGGCTCAATGAAGACGGAGGATGCGAGGGCAATTGAAGCTGCTCAGGAACAGTTCTCGTGCAGCGAAATGGAAGGACAGCTGGCCTTCATAAAGGCAAATTTCAGTTCCTTGACAGAAGGAATCCAATGCTTGCAGGAGAAAGGAGCAGCGCTAGAAGATTCGCTCGCTCTGGTGAAGAAAATAGCCAGTGATTTGGAGAAAGTATCAGGGGACTTTAGTAAAACGGTGTCAAGAAAAATGAAAAGTGTTCTGGATAAAAACTCAGGTTATGAAACATTATGCAGCATTTCTCGAATTCTGTCAGGAGAGTCCTTCAGCGCTTTCATTATTGAAGAACTTACTGCTAGTGATTTGGTACACTTCAAGTACGCTCCCATTGTCTGCAGATGTGGAAGGGAGTTTCTCCAAGTACAAGAATGAGCTGTCGGACAATAGGCGCTCTCCCACTTTCGAGAATCTCCGCATGTTGACTGTCATCTATTGCAAGCCTGAATGAGGTGAGACTTAAATGTTGGAATATATACCGTATATGTACATTTGATAAGCGTTCTAACACGATAGAAAAAATCGTATTAAAACATTTAGCTTCAAATTCAATCAATATCGCTTAATTCTCAACATAAAAACGAGGACGAACTTAAAAGAGTAAAGATGAGTTCAGTGTTAATAAAGATTAAAAATACATTTTAAAATAATTAGTAGATATTCTGACATATTACAGTTTTGGTTCATATTTTAGGTAATTTTTCTGGATTTTTTCGGCCATTTTATAGGTCATTTTTAAAATATTTTCAGGTCATCAAAATCCGGGCCCTGGTCATAAGGAATCAGAGGCTTTACGCCGATATATTGCGGCAACTTCTTCGACATTCCTGTATAGTTTGATATCTAAACGAAATGCCACAGGGGCTTTGTTCTTTTCCGAGATCAATTCAGTTACGTTGAAATACGATGTTCGGTTGAAATGAGGTTCTCAGTAATTTTGATTTATGGTCAAAGCAGTGGTGTGTTTCCAAGTGTGGCGGTTGGTCCTTTGTCATGGACTGTTACACCGAGTGCTATAAGACTTGTGTACCTCTGCGATCTAAAGAGGCCAGACAAAAAACACTCCGAAAGAGACAGAGGTAAAAGTAAAGTTGTCCCGGTGCTTAATTAAGCACCACTCTATGAAGACGTGTGGGGGAGCAGAGATATAGATTGACCATTTTTGTCCTCAGCACTAGACGGGAGTGAATGGTCAGCTTCACGCCCCGGCCGCTTTACTCCTGTGGAAACAGCACCTGGTTCCCATTGGCTAGGAGGTTGAGTGGACCCCAGAGCCGGTCTGGAAGCTATGGAGTAGCGAAAAATCTCTTGTTCCTGCCGGGAATCAAACCCAGGCCGACAGGGTAATTTGTAAATGACGGCGGATTATGAAGAGAAGATAAAACCCTGCGAGCTAAAATAAAATTAAATCTGTTGAAAAAGTGCGCATGTCCAATGACTGAACTTCCGATATGTTGCGTTCTTCACCCAACCCAGATATGGGGAACTTCTTCACTGCAAGGTATCAAATTTATGTCAGCAATTGCTGGTAACAAGAGGTGACAAATGTCCCTGTTTGTCTTAAAATTGCAATTAAATATATACCGAAAGCGTTTTCAAAACTGCCTCTGTGGCCTAGTGGTCAGAGTTCCTGGCTACAGATCTAGAGGTCCAAGTTTGAGTCCCGGTGCTACCAGATTTTCTGAGAAGTAGTGGGTCTGGAACGGGGTCCACTCAGCTTCGTGAGGATATCTGAGAAGCTACTTGAATGAAAAAGTAGCGGCTCCGGTTTAGAAAACCGAAATTAACGGCCGTGGGGATTCGTTGCGCTGACCACATGACACCCTTTATCAGCTGAAGTTGGCACTAACTTCGCAGATAATCGATGGTCGCTCGGTCGGTATATTTCGCTTGCGGACTAAAGCCACGGAGTTTGTTTTGAAAGCGTTTTCAAGGCCCCAAGACTGCTCTCAACAAGTGTACCAGGTGAGGCCAGATACAAGGGCATGGTGCGACACAGCAACAATATGGGCCTCAATGTGTTGGAATGAAAGGCAGAATAAGTTGTCTAAATTTGTGCACCATTAGACAGTTCCTTCTCGCGAGTCATCAGGTTTCCGCGGAACTTTCAGAAACACTGGTCTGTGGCCATAGTACTGTAATGATAAATAATAAATTTCAGTATAGTTTATTTTAAGGAAAACCCGGACAAAGAACGGGTCATTTCATTAGTTATCATTTTTTTTTTCCTTTCCAAAATTTCCTCGTAGAATACAGTGAGAAGAAAAGTGGAATATTTTACTTCCCTGGTTAAGAAAGGTAAAGTTGTCCTTAAAGAGTATGGGGGAGTGAATGTATAGAGCCACACTTTCTTGACCACGGCAATAGTTGGAGGTCAGTGGTCAGCTTCGCGCCCTGGCCGTTTTCCCCCTGGAGAAAGAGCCTCCGGTACTCATTAAATAGGAAACTGGATGGGCCCCAGAGCAGGTCTCAATAATGTGGAGAACGGAAAATTCTTGACCTTTTTTTATTGCTAGTGGGGAGTGGGACTAAGTCCCTTGTATTGCAGCCACTTCTGGCCTATTGTACCAGGCCCAGATGATAGGTGAGGGTGATTGTGGAGCAATTGGTGGAATGAAGATTGGCAGGGGAAACTGAAGTACTTGGAGAAAACCTGCCCCAGCGTCACTTTGTCCATCACAAATCCAACTTGACCAGACCCGGGCTACCGCGGTGGAAGCCAGCGACTAACCACTTGAACTATGGAGCGTCCAATTCTTGACGTTACCCGGACTCGAACTCTTGGTTGTCCAGCCCATGGCCAGTCACTATACCGACTACGCTATCCCTGCTCCGACTTCCTTGGTAGGTGAAGTAAAAGGTAAGACAAAAAGGGTAATTTTTTGTGTGCTTAATTAACTAAGCATCATGCCATATAAGATGTACGTGGGAGTGGAGGTACAGCTTCATAATTCTTGACTTCTGCATTACACAGAGGTCAGTAGCTTGCTTCACACCCTTGCCTCTTTAACCCGAGTGAAAGAGCCTCAGGTAGCAAGTGAGGTTGGGTCGATGTCAGAGCTGGTCTGGACACTGTCAAGTAGAAAAAAAAAACTCTAGTCTCTGTCAGGATATGAACCCAGGCCATCGAGCCTGTAGCCTGTCACTGTAATAAATAAAAGAGTAAATTTGTATCTGCTTAAATGGGCACCATGACATGAAGACATACGAGGGATGTGAAATATAACTCCACGCATGCTTAACCTTTGAATTAGATTAAGGCGAGCGGTTGGTAAACTTCCTGTCCTGCCCACTTTGCAATAGGATAAGAGGCTGGATGGGCTTGGTGACAGTCTGAACTCTGTGGAGAAGAGAGAAATCTCTTGCCCCAGCCAACGATTCAACATCCATTCTTTGGCTGTCTAGCACATAGACCGGTCATGATACCAACTGATATAGTCAATGTACCAATGCTCAAAGCAAAGTACGTAATTCACAACAAAAATGAAATATCAAGAACATCCTGAGTTGTAAAATATCCCTACATAGTTTTCTGTGGCTCTTCTTAGGATTTCACACAAATGCCAGAATATAAAATGAAATGTAATTCATATTTATACAATAAATATATTTACAAATTATTTATTTATTTCAAATAGTACATATATTTAATTAATAAAATAAGAACACACAACTTCTCATATGAAACTGAGCTTTCAATACAATAACATTGATGTTTCAATTGACTTCTCACACAAGATCTTTATTAGTATGGTTGTTTCACCTGTCTGGGGCTTTGACAGAAAATATTCTAGCAGTGCTGTCATCAGAAGAAGTGAGCAGAGTGCTGCAGTCCCTGTTAGAGAAAAAACAGTGATTAATATGCCACGGCCTCAAATATATTCATTTAGTCAACTTTCCAAAGATATAGTTGAAACCTGATTACTCGTATGTATCTATATCCTTAGATATATATGGAATAATAAAATGGATCTTAAGACAATACAGTGTTAGGGCACTGAGTGGTTTGACTTGGTTCAGGAGAGAAATGGAAGAAATAAGAAATGCACACAATTTCAGTCACAAAATTTGAAGAGATCAAACTACAGAATCTATAAAGCAGATGGAATAACATTAAAATGGATCTTAAGACAATACAATGTGAGGGCATTCAGTGGTTTGACTTGGTTTAGGAGAGGATCCAGTGGAACTGATCTGTAAACACAGCAATGAAAATGTTGGTTCCACAGAAGGCAGGGAACTTCTTGAGTGACTGAAGGACTGTCACCTTCTCAAGGACTTGGCTTCATGGAGTTCACTGGTTCAGTTACCTGAAATTCCTTTAACACTACTAAATATTCATTTACTTTAAGCCTCTGACACACCAAAAGGAAAGGTCCCGTCACACTTCACCTAAGCATCGATTAATAAATGGCCAGGATGTAACAAATTTAAATGACATGGAAAATGGTAACGCTTGCCTTTCTAGGCATTCGGTATAATCAGATTAGAGTGGACATACGCAGATAATGAAATATCCAGGATACAGTGTGAATGCCCGAACAGCTCGTTCTGCAAGGTGCCACTTCTAGCATCATACAGTCGAACAGTCCCATCCAAGCCAGCAGTATAGAAATGGGGGCTGTTCTTAATCCAGAGTAGCTTAGTGATGCCTGAGTCTTGCTTCAGTGTGTGACGAACAGTCTTTAAGAAAATAAAGAGCAACAGATGGGCATTATCCACATCAAAGCAACCAAGAATGTTATATACTTTTACATAATAATTCATACATTGCAACACACCATACACCAGCATCAAAAGAATATACATTTACAAACATGTCAAACTGCAACCAAACAGGGAACACACAACACGAGACACAATATACACTGAGAGTAACAGGAACGACTCCCATAGTGGTGGAACTATGCGCAGTATTAGAATTGGGACAGATAAGATAAATAATCTTAAGAAGTTTTTAGTATATAAATATTTATTATAATTGACGAACATTTTTAAATACTTTTTAAATTTTACAATGACATAATGGCAAGCAATGAAATAGATTAACGTAAATGGAGCAACTGATGATGGCACTATAGTGCCGAAACATGTTGTGAAATAACAAGTGAAATTGAGTGCACTAAAAGATGGACACTGCATACATATTGTCGCGTATCGGGCATATATCGCGACAAATAAGTTCACGCCGTATTTTATATAGCGAATTTTATTTCACATGTCAACAATATATAAACAATATACAACATGTCACAATATATAAAAAAAGGAAAAATTATTTCCGACTTTGTGCAGAGATAGGTGCTGTGTAACTGGCAGTGAAATAGGTTTATATCCTGTCAATACAACATTATCTGTCATCCACAGTCCTGTCACTTCTAGCTTAACAGCATCTGAATGAATCAGAATGAAGATGAAAACAAACTGAAGTTGTCCGGTGTGTTTCTAATGGGGTGAATTAGGTGGGTAACTGCCATCAGAAGTTTCAAACACATTGATTAAATAATTATGATACACTTCTGGTGACAAAGGATGAAACATTATACATTTTGTGCTGGGGTTGTTCACGCTAATGGATGTAGTTCAGAAGAATATTTTTTTCTTAGGCGCTACAGCCCCAATTTGGGCCTTGGCCTACCTCCATGAAACTCTTCATTTCACTTTGGTTTTCTAGATCTTAGATAGTCGGTAG